TTTTACCTGAGTGTGTCGTTCATGTGAAATTTGACGTGTACTTCGTGATCGTTCCGCAACAGTCTCCCCCTCAGTAATGACAACTTTTATCACTTCGCCTGAATTCCCCCACATCCTTCTGTGTACCTAAATAAGGGGGTGAAGTCTGCTATCTCTAAATATGAAACAGACAAAATTGCAGCGTACGGTTGATAATAACTAACTCTATAACATTGGCGAGGCTGAATTTGATGATCATGATACTACTTGGAGTCTTCTTACCACCTCAATGATGAATTATACCCGTTGGAATATCTGCAGGAAATTGTTTGGTGTATCGTATGTATGAAATATGACTATAACTTGGTATTCTACGGCCTGATAAGGCGCATTTTGACGGTGATAAATGGTAGAAGCTCTGATAACAACTTCAGGCGTACTCTTATTGTCGCGATTCAGAGTATTACATTTACAATCTCTACACACATCGATCTTAAACACAAGTATTAATAATAAGCATAAAAATTTAATCTTATCACTCATTCTCATCAGTTGTGTGATAGATGATGTTTCACAAAATAAAGACAAGTCACAGCTAGCTGTAACTAGAAAGTAAAACTTCGTCTAGCTACAGGCTTTGAAATGAGGCTGTAGAATTTATAACAGCGGAGGCGTGTGGTAAGCAGTACGTAAAGTGAAACGCTGCCTGGAGGTTTGAACTCATGTAATATTTACTACATATTGTAACTCTACTACTAGTATACATTGATTGATTTTTCAAAAAGTTTTTAACACTTTCTTACATCATCCTAACTACTTTACACTGTTTAACCAGCCACGTAGATGGTCATCTAACGTACTAACAACATCAATCAGAGCTTAACTAACTCCAGCAGAGTCAGCTGTTTGAATCTTTATCGAAGAGAAACATCTGCAGCCAGTAAGATTACCAAACCTTAGAGGTTGTTAAAATGAATTAAATGCTCAGTAGGTTGACAATAGCGGTAAAATGCTACTGGCGTTTCAAGACATCTATTGCCTGCCAAAAAGAACTCTGCGCTAAATGTTGACTTTCCTCCGTTTGAACATGTTCAGTATGAGAGGTGGTATCTTTAATTTATATATTGTAAAACAGTCATCCAAAACTTTGTCGTTACGTGATAAATTGCAAGTGTATGGTGCAAGTGCATTTGGCTCCTGGCTGTCTTCTTCTGGTACACTTACATTTACCATTTACATTTACCACGTCTCTGTTGGTTCTAAAGCCATTAGTCTAACCCCTCGTTTGACAGAACAGTTTATCCGGTAGTTACCTGGCCTTTCCCGAGATGAATAACACGTCGTGTAGCATTATAACGTGCTTCGTGCAGCTGCCAGGTCCTGTTTGCACGGCGATTTTCAAGGAAGCCTTTCACAGATGAGCCACCTGAGTCCTCTAAAGCCTATGTGAAACATAGCCGCATAAGGCCAAACCATGGTTAGGAGTAGGTCGGGAGCAAGGTCGGCTGTGGTTGGCTGGTGGTTGACTAGTATTCGGGAGGAGGTCAGAAATGTTCGTGGCGTGTTCGGGGGTCATATTTTACCCAATCGTAACTCAAATTCAACACTTATAGATAGGCAAGAATGGTCTTAATCTGACGGGTCTGCTCTCGAACTTCAGCCAAGTTCAGTTCATACATTCAGAACAGAAAAACAAACACAGACGTTATACGTCATCATTTACTGATGTCAATCCAGAAAACGTATTGATTTTGTGATAAAGGTGTAATGTACCAGTTATGTCTGTGTATAATGTAGCGTCTTCAAAGCGCCCCTTGCGGATAATGTACAACATGAATGTTACGTCAGCAGTGTTCGGGACGTGTTCAGAGATCAAATTTGACTCTAATTCAACCAAAATTCGTTTTTGAGTCATAAACAAAAGATAGGAGTAGCCTAAATCTGGTCAGAATGCCCCCGATCACCAGCCGACCTGTTAGACTGGTGTTCGGGAACGAATTCGTGGAAGTTCGTGAATGTGTGACAGGGGCTTTACGTTGTCGCATGGAGGCGTTATTGTACCGAGACTCTAGTTTGCACCGCTTGTACATGCGAAACAGCGATGTAAACTAACAAGCCAGTATTGAAATTCTACGGAAAAAATAACACTGTAAAGAAAACTTGAAAATTGACAGGGGATTTGTATCTCGTGGAATAATTGATTAACGATGAAACGAAATATCACATATCACAATCTGTCAAGATCTGTCCTGAAGTTTTCAAGACTATCGGCTTTGCTATTAATGATATTTCTGTCGAATGTCTCTGTATCTATCACCAACACCAATATGATAGTAATCTACCTCAATGTTTTGTCTTAGATAGCCATATGGGCTGATATGATGTCACCTTAAGCTCCTGTCACACGTACAGCCGAATATGGCCTCAACACTGGTCGGATTAAAACTGGTCAGACTGCTCCCAACCTTGGTTTTAATGTGTGACAGGAGCTTTAATGAACTAGGCAATTTGTGTTTGGGAATGATTTTTCAAGAGAAATCACATGATGGTCGTTAATATCAAGCAAGGAAGCCAAAAGAAACTTCGGCACGCGTCAAGAAGGAAACGGCTACGATGAAGGGGACACTAATTCAGAAGAACATTACAATCATAGGACTACGATTAATGGTCACAAAAATCGACTTGTCTTAATCGAAGACTAGGGCGGCTTTGATTTTACATATTAGCGTCCAGATGGTTTTGATCGATAAGACTCGATACATACTGTTAGACTGTAGGTAGGACGAATGTTTTCCAACAGCGCTTGATGAACATTGATTTGATGGAAAGACAAATGTTTCTCAAAGCAAATGCCTGATGAAATAGAACTCCGTATATTTTCATCAGATTTGGGTGGCAATGGTAACTGCCTAGCAAATGGAGATGGATACTGTCTGGCCAATTTGACACTGACAGCCACCAAAAGATCTGCTTTGAGATTAGACCGGTACACGGTGTCAATACAGAAAATATTTGTTTTTTAAAATCTGAGCTTTGGTTACTGTTTCAACTATTGTTAAAACTGCTTATACCTAGGCTGGTTCTCCTAAGCTCTAATTACACTCCTCCATCACGTACATCACAGTTTCCCCCCAGCCTCTGCAACGCCTCACGTATTTGGAGCGTGTGCCCAATTATGGTGGCTGGCGTTTAGTCAAATAAGGGTAATAACTTTAATGGGTGTCGGAGGGGCAAATTGCAGGAGATGTTTTGCGCAGACAGACATGCTGAATAAGTGGAAAATAGGGGAGGGCTAAGGCAACCCAGTTGTGGGTAAGACGCACTGACTCATGGTTCTTCTCTTGAAAGTTTTGCCTTATTTTCCAAAAGCAAATAGGAAATAAATTTCATAGAATGCTCTAGATATAATGTTTGACACAATAATGTATCAGCATTTCTTTGTTTAAGTACAACATATTTCAAGAGAACCAATGCCACAAGCAGATTTGAATATGGTTGAATGGTTTTATTGAGGTCTTAGATCTCCGAAGTCTTGTTTGAGGTTTGTTCTTAACCCCCCAAAAGTCGTTGTAGTGTTTGTTTCGTCAAAAAAGAATCTGTTCTGTTCTGTACGTGTAAGGTACTAGTCTACATCGTTTTCTCGTCTGAGAATTTGTAATGACGGTGATGGGAATGGGAAAACCGCATTGCTTTGCACGATATCAATACTGCTTGAAAAAGAATCATCAAGGGATCTTTTCGTCACCATCAATACGTGACCCGGCCTCTCTTTGCTTAATTTTAAGGAATTTCCCCAGGGCAGCACTAGCCATTAATCCTACATCAGTTACTTAAAGAACAGTTTCGTTCCCAGGTTGTTACTTACTATACGTGGCTGTTACGTACTCGTAGGTAATGGCAGGAAACAACCTAGACTAAAAAGGTCACAAAGAGCTAGGCGCTGCAATCGCATTCAACAAGTTGCAGACTACAGAGAGACAGTTCTAATACAGTAAGCCTTTCAAGTCCAAAATGTTCCTGAGGTTATGACACCCTGGTAATTGGACAGACAGGACAAAACGGCACGACTGTAACAGTAAGTACTTTGCCTAAAAAGGTCAGTTGATAAGGGCTTCAGAATGTTAAAATCCTACAACGTTACAATCGCATTCAACAAGTTTCAGACCTTACAAACAGTTCGAATAGAGGAAGCCTTTCAAGTCTGAAATGTTCCTAAGGTTATGACACCCCAATAATTGAACGGGACATAACGGCACGACTACAACAGTAACTCCTCGCCTAAAAAGGTCAGTTGATAAGAGCCTTAAGAATCTTAAGATTCTACAAGTTACAGACCTTACAGACATTTCCAGTAGAGGAACCCTTTCAAGTTAAAATATTCCTAAGGTTTCGACACCTTACTAATTGCACAGGACAAAACGGCACGACTTCAACAATAACTACCTGTCTGAAGTTGGCTACAATTAGCAATAAAACGTATACGTACATGTACAGTCTAATGTGCAAATCTGCAATTCTACGTAGAAGATATCATGACTAACCCCGTTATAAACAATGATAAAGCATAATTTAACATATTGTTATCACACTTCAATTTCATGTAATATACGTGTGTTATATTACTGTACTTTGTGGCCTGTTTAGTATGTATTTTAACACGGATCTCAAATAGGCACACATACTTATACATATCTAATATATGGATTCGCGTATTTTAGGTGTAAAATTATTTGATAAATCAACATTATACAACATCAGCTGATGTAACAGACACCGGGGCTGGAAGAGCAAGCCACTGAAGCTGGTCACCTTGAAGCTCGCCTAAATAACTGATGTATGTCCAATAATACACATAAAGCTAGTGCGTAGACTATTACGTCCAGCCACATATCAAGGCAGTGCGAAGAATATTACGACCAGGTCGCAAATGTAGATGATGCTTTCGGGAGGTACTTTACACCGAACCAACTGTAGTAAAGTTAGATGAGACTACCTGCCCTCTGACCCATTCCGGAGCACCCATGGCCAAAGGTGGCTCCGCAGTAGGAAATTGCCATTACCAATAATTTGCCACGGATCCATTTCCGTAGTACCTATTCACTTCGCTTGTGAGATGATGTAGAACATCCAGGGAAATGAAAATACAACAGCCTACGTGTTCCCTGGCTCTATGCACATGACCTTTTCAGTCTATATGCTAGACTTGTAAAGAAAATGAAACGTAGGAAACTAGATTCGACATATGCACAAAGACGGTAAACTGATTAAAATGATGTGCTGGTTCATTATCATTTAGCTAATTTGATCAACCCACGCCGTTCTCTAAAGGGCTTGAACTCTTTCAATCAACGGTGTCACAGTTGATGAAAGGCTTAAGTTTAAATAATTTATTTACACATTAACGCAAATTTTCATGGCGACCTTTGGTCTTTAAGTAAAAAAACTTCGAGCCTAACTTGGTCATGACCCGACCAGAATCTTCTCCAACACACAAACATGCACAGCAGTATCATAGTAAGTTGATTATCATACATATGTCCAGAAACTTGTGCTAAATATTCCAATCCAAGAGGCCTGTCCTGTTCATAAAGATTGGTCGTGTCAGTCCCTTATGACATGAAAGTATTACGCAACTTCATGGAAGCTTCGATTGGAGAACAGTAATCTTTTGCAGCAGTAAAATTAAATATCTTTTATTGAACCTTCACAACAATACAATGCACCGTGGTCCCATGCTCAAACAGGCTTATTATTTGATGGGCTTATTATTTATATCAGCATAAACAACGCAAGTATGATGTGGCCAGACTCCAGTCACAGGAGGTGGTCGACCGTTTCCAGTTGGATCTGCAGAACCGTTTCTCTGTGCTGGCGGATGTAGACGACGACACAGAGAAAATCTGGGAGGATCTCAAGGAAGGTCTAACAAGCTCCGCAACTAAGGTGGTGGGTCACAAAAGGACCAGAAAGAAGGATCTCCTGTCAGAAGAGACGTTACAAGTAGTTGAGGCAAGGAGAGAAGCCCGTCTGCGAGGGAACCGTGAGGAGTACAGGA